AAAAAAAAAAAAAAAAAAAAAAAAAAAAAAAGGTATTAGCTTTCCCATAGTACCTAACTTACTGCTACAGTCCAATGCATATGACCCTTAATCAAAATTAGATTGTAACAGAGACACTGAATGGTTAATAGTGATATACAGCCTCACTAAAACCCTAAAGTGAACGAAGCTTCCACTGACTTCGATCAGACTCTGCTCTTCGAAACACCTCAGTGTTTGTCCCTGTGCTTTCTAGTATCCTACATTACAGGAGAAAAGGTTAATATTAACAGCTTTACCACTATTTTTATTTTGAAATAATAGCACAAGTAAGGTGTTTCAATAAATGTTTGATTTTATGAGCTCTTCTGCGTTTTCTCAACCAATTAGTCAAATTGCCTTCTTGATTGTATCTCCTTGCTAAATCTAGCTTTTTTAGGTTTTGTTATTTAGTGCGCTACTGTATTCCATTAAAGGCAAAGTTCAATTATTTGTCTTTTGAAGGTCTGAGTGCCTTGCTTAAAATGCCAAGTGCATTAAAAACAGGTCACCCTTGACTTTTGCAAAGACATATAGAAGGATAATCAGTTGGTTGGTTTTAACGGAATTTTGAAACCATACCTGTGAGCATACGTGTGCATGTGTGGGTATGTGTGCATGAAGATACCAAAACAAGGATTAAATCTTGCCAAATCATCAAGAACACTTTTTTTGTTGGGTTTTTTTTTGTTTGCTTGTTTGGGGTTTTTTTTAGAATTTACCATTTTTATTTCCTAACAAGGAGCAACAAGAAGGAAAGTCTTGCAGTTAAAAACAAAGGACAGGGATACAGGAGACACTGAATCTGGATGAAAACATGTCCTAAAACATTCTAGTAGCACAAAAAAAGGGACTTTAAAGCCACCATGTGTAAATGAGAGAAAATTCTAGCAGAAAAATCATGTATTTTTGAGGAATCTGCTGTTATACCTCTTCAGAATTATATACACTGTCCTTATGTATTTTTATTTCCAATTTGAAGACAACTCTCTGCGCTGTCTTTTCCCCCTAGACTGAGAATGAACCCACATAAGGCAGCAAAAATTCTTGTAGACAGCATGAGTCTGCTAAGAGATCCTGGTGAACTTTGCAAAGAGATGGTTCTTGGTCACGGCAGGATAAACCTCATCTCCGGAATGGTGGGAGATTACCATCTGTAGGAATGTCCTCAGGTGGTCACCTGTTAAAAGGCTCTGGAGGCTTTAAAAGAGAAGAAAAGCAACTTAAATGTTGCCTGTGGTACCAATCTAACATAGCTGTTTGTTCATGAGCAGGAGCCTTGCAAGGGCTGTAGGGCAGACCCTACACCCTGAGCCCTGTTGTGCAGCTGCTGGTGGTAGGAGTAGCTCTGTCAGATCTACTCAATGAGTAAAGGCTGCAGAAGGGATGCAGGCATAGTAGCAATTAGTTTCTGCAGAGTTTTTAAAAATCTATTTACAAGCCAATTGTCTATGGCAGGCGTGTTCAGCATGCACATGTCTCTTCCTGTATAGATGGCAAACTTCAAGTAAAACAGAGATTAATTTAATTAAGTTTAAACATTTCAGCTTTTTATTTTATGGTTACACACATAAGTAGAGCAATAACTGGATACAAATGTTGCATATTTACTGTGGCATGATCCAAGCAATTACTACTAAAGCATTAAGGAAAAGCATCATTTCACTCTTTTAATTTTATTTTATAATTAGGTGCGAACCACATTTTGGTGAATACATTTATAGTTAGAAGTTACAGATTATGCTTCTCTATTTTGGAAGGATGATTTTGGCCCTATTGCTAAAAGGCTGTTAGCAACAATTAAAATAGCTATAAAAATATGTTTATAGCATTTGTATTTGTTTTCCTTGTTAGTTTTCATCAAATATTTCACACTCATATGATGTATGCAGCCTGCTAAGAGTCACTAACTCAGACTTTCAGAAATGGTTTTCAACATCTGGTTAAAAACATAGTTTTTTATGTACAGCAATTGTTAGTTCATCCTTTTGTCACACGAGTGTTGTGCCAGTTGTTCATATGCCTCTGACTTCTGTTACTTTTGTTCTCAAAAATGATTTGAAAAAGTTTGGAATAAAAACTTAAAAGCGGGGGGGGGGGGGGGGGGAAAAAAAA